GGTTCCATATCTGCACAGCTGGTTCCATATCTGCACAGGTGGTTCCATATCTGCACAGCTGGTTCCATATCTGCACAGCTGGTTCCATATCTGCACAGGTGGTTCCATATCTGCACAGGTGGTTCCATATCTGCACAGGTGGTTCCATATCTGCACAGGTGGTTCCATATCTGCACAGGTGGTTCCATATCTGCACAGGTGGTTCCATATCTGCACAGCTGGTTCCATATCTGCACAGCTGGTTCCATATCTGCACAGCTGGTTCCATATCTGCACAGGTGGTTCCATATCTGCACAGCTGGTTCCATATCTGCACAGCTGGTTCCATATCTGCACAGATGGTTCCATATCTGCACAGCTGGTTCCATATCTGCACAGCTGGTTCCATATCTGCACAGGTGGTTCCATATCTGCACAGCTGGTTCCATATCTGCACAGCTGGTTCCATATCTGCACAGCTGGTTCCATATCTGCACAGGTGGTTCCATATCTGCACAGCTGGTTCCATATCTGCACAGGTGGTTCCATATCTGCACAGCTGGTTCCACATCTGCACAGCTGGTTCCATATCTGCACAGGTGGTTCCATATCTGCACAGCTGGTTCCATATCTGCACAGCTGGTTCCATATCTGCACAGGTGGTTCCATATCTGCACAGGTGGTTCCATATCTGCACAGCTGGTTCCATATCTGCACAGGTGGTTCCATATCTGCACAGGTGGTTCCATATCTGCACAGCTGGTTCCATATCTGCAGAGGTGGTTCCATATCTGCACAGCTGGTTCCATATCTGCACAGCTGGTTCCATATCTGCACAGCTGGTTCCATATCTGCACAGGTGGTTCCATATCTGCACAGCTGGTTCCATATCTGCTCAGCTGGTTCCATATCTGCACAGGTGGTTCCATATCTGCACAGCTGGTTCCATATCTGCACAGGTGGTTCCATATCTGCACAGCTGGTTCCATATCTGCACAGCTGGTTCCATATCTGCACAGCTGGTTCCATATCTGCACAGGTGGTTCCATATCTGCACAGGTGGTTCCATATCTGCACAGGTGGTTCCATATCTGCACAGCTGGTTCCATATCTGCACAGCTGGTTCCATATCTGCACAGGTGGTTCCATATCTGCACAGCTGGTTCCATATCTGCACAGCTGGTTCCATATCTGCACAGCTGGTTCCATATCTGCACAGGTGGTTCCATATCTGCACAGCTGGTTCCATATCTGCACAGGTGGTTCCATATCTGCACAGCTGGTTCCATATCTGCACAGCTGGTTCCATATCTGCACAGGTGGTTCCATATCTGCACAGCTGGTTCCATATCTGCACAGCTGGTTCCATATCTGCACAGGTGGTTCCATATCTGCACAGGTGGTTCCATATCTGCACAGGTGGTTCCATATCTGCACAGGTGGTTCCATATCTGCACAGGTGGTTCCATATCTGCACAGGTGGTTCCATATCTGCACAGCTGGTTCCATATCTGCACAGCTGGTTCCATATCTGCACAGCTGGTTCCATATCTGCACAGCTGGTTCCATATCTGCACAGCTGGTTCCATATCTGCACAGCTGGTTCCATATCTGCACAGCTGGTTCCATATCTGCACAGCTGGTTCCATATCTGCACAGCTGGTTCCATATCTGCACAGCTGGTTCCATATCTGCACAGGTGGTTCCATATCTGCACAGCTGGTTCCATATCTGCACAGCTGGTTCCATATCTGCACAGCTGGTTCCATATCTGCACAGGTGGTTCCATATCTGCACAGGTGGTTCCATATCTGCACAGCTGGTTCCATATCTGCACAGGTGGTTCCATATCTGCACAGCTGGTTCCATATCTGCACAGGTGGTTCCATATCTGCACAGCTGGTTCCATATCTGCACAGCTGGTTCCATATCTGCACAGGTGGTTCCATATCTGCACAGGTGGTTCCATATCTGCACAGCTGGTTCCATATCTGCAGAGGTGGTTCCATATCTGCACAGCTGGTTCCATATCTGCACAGCTGGTTCCATATCTGCACAGCTGGTTCCATATCTGCACAGGTGGTTCCATATCTGCACAGCTGGTTCCATATCTGCACAGCTGGTTCCATATCTGCACAGGTGGTTCCATATCTGCACAGCTGGTTCCATATCTGCACAGGTGGTTCCATATCTGCACAGCTGGTTCCATATCTGCACAGCTGGTTCCATATCTGCACAGCTGGTTCCATATCTGCACAGGTGGTTCCATATCTGCACAGGTGGTTCCATATCTGCACAGGTGGTTCCATATCTGCACAGCTGGTTCCATATCTGCACAGCTGGTTCCATATCTGCACAGGTGGTTCCATATCTGCACAGGTGGTTCCATATCTGCACAGCTGGTTCCATATCTGCACAGGTGGTTCCATATCTGCACAGCTGGTTCCATATCTGCACAGCTGGTTCCATATCTGCACAGCTGGTTCCATATCTGCACAGGTGGTTCCATATCTGCACAGGTGGTTCCATATCTGCACAGCTGGTTCCATATCTGCACAGCTGGTTCCATATCTGCACAGCTGGTTCCATATCTGCACAGCTGGTTCCATATCTGCACAGCTGGTTCCATATCTGCACAGGTGGTTCCATATCTGCACAGGTGGTTCCATATCTGCACAGGTGGTTCCATATCTGCACAGGTGGTTCCATATCTGCACAGCTGGTTCCATATCTGCACAGCTGGTTCCATATCTGCACAGCTGGTTCCATATCTGCACAGCTGGTTCCATATCTGCACAGCTGGTTCCATATCTGCACAGGTGGTTCCATATCTGCACAGGTGGTTCCATATCTGCACAGCTGGTTCCATATTTGCACAGCTGGTTCCATATCTGCACAGGTGGTTCCATATCTGCACAGCTGGTTCCATATCTGCACAGCTGGTTCCATATCTGCACAGCTGGTTCCATATCTGCACAGCTGGTTCCATATCTGCACAGCTGGTTCCATATCTGCACAGCTGGTTCCATATCTGCACAGCTGGTTCCATATCTGCACAGGTGGTTCCATATCTGCACAGCTGGTTCCATATCTGCACAGCTGGTTCCATATCTGCACAGGTGGTTCCATATCTGCACAGGTGGTTCCATATCTGCACAGCTGGTTCCACATCTGCACAGGTGGTTCCATATCTGCACAGCTGGTTCCATATCTGCACAGGTGGTTCCATATCTGCACAGCTGGTTCCATATCTGCACAGCTGGTTCCATATCTGCACAGGTGGTTCCATATCTGCACAGCTGGTTCCATATCTGCACAGCTGGTTCCATATCTGCACAGCTGGTTCCATATCTGCACAGCTGGTTCCATATCTGCACAGCTGGTTCCATATCTGCACAGGTGGTTCCATATCTGCACAGCTGGTTCCATATCTGCACAGCTGGTTCCATATCTGCACAGCTGGTTCCATATCTGCACAGGTGGTTCCATATCTGCACAGGTGGTTCCATATCTGCACAGCTGGTTCCATATCTGCACAGCTGGTTCCATATCTGCACAGCTGGTTCCATATCTGCACAGCTGGTTCCATATCTGCACAGGTGGTTCCATATCTGCACAGGTGGTTCCATATCTGCACAGCTGGTTCCATATCTGCACAGCTGGTTCCATATCTGCACAGGTGGTTCCATATCTGCACAGCTGGTTCCATATCTGCACAGGTGGTTCCATATCTGCACAGGTGGTTCCATATCTGCACAGCTGGTTCCACATCTGCACAGGTGGTTCCATATCTGCACAGCTGGTTCCATATCTGCACAGGTGGTTCCATATCTGCACAGCTGGTTCCATATCTGCACAGCTGGTTCCATATCTGCACAGGTGGTTCCATATCTGCACAGGTGGTTCCATATCTGCACAGGTGGTTCCATATCTGCACAGCTGGTTCCATATCTGCACAGGTGGTTCCATATCTGCACAGGTGGTTCCATATCTGCACAGCTGGTTCCATATCTGCACAGGTGGTTCCATATCTGCACAGGTGGTTCCATATCTGCACAGCTGGTTCCATATCTGCACAGCTGGTTCCATATCTGCACAGGTGGTTCCATATCTGCACAGCTGGTTCCATATCTGCACAGCTGGTTCCATATCTGCACAGCTGGTTCCATATCTGCACAGCTGGTTCCATATCTGCACAGCTGGTTCCATATCTGCACAGCTGGTTCCATAGCTGCACAGCTGGTTCCATATCTGCCTCCCACTTAGCCCATTTTGTGAGGCATTTTCTCAACCCTCGCTCTGCCTCTATGCTGCCTGAGGGAGCGGTTCGTGTGCTCACCTGCCCGTCCGTGCGCCCACCTGCCCGTCCGTGCGCCCACCACTACTGTGCTGTTGGAACCGTCATGCTTGTCCATGCACCCATCAAGGACCATCACTGGTCCTCACAGAGGGGAGAGAGGGTGTCTCTGTCAGGAGCCGTGTCTCTTTGCAACCCCTTCGACCTGGTTCTGGCTGGCTGATAGGAACTCCCACGTGCCCTGCCGCCCTGCCCCACGGTCCATGCACCCGTCTTCCCTTTCATTCGACCATCACTGATCCTCACAGGAGGGAGAGGAGGTGCCTCTGTCTGGAGCAGTATCGCTGTGCAACCCCTTGGACCTCGTGCTGGCTGGCTGATAGGGACCCCCTCATTTCCTGCCGCCCTTACCAGCCCCCACCACTTCTGTCCTGACATGACCCTCCATGCGCCGACCTGCCCCTTCATTAAACCATCATTTTCATGACAGCAAGGAGAGGAGGTGCCGCTGTCAGGAGCCGTGTCGCTGTGCAACCCGTTTGACCTCGTGCTGGCTGAACGGGTTGCACAGCAATAGGAACTTCCACAGGCCGGCCCCACGGCACGTGCAGTGGAGGAGGAGGTGCCTTGTCCCTGGCCCCACTGTCTTACCCCTCCCTCCCTCCATGCACCCATTTCTCCCTCTCTACACACACCCATCCGTGCTTCCCCTCGATCACGGCAGGAGGGAGAGGAGGTGCCTCTGTCGGGAGCAGTATCGCTGTGCAACCCTTTTGACCTGGTGCTGGCTGATCGCAACTTCCACATTGGATTCAACAACTTCTATGATCAACGGCTGGGATCGACTCTCAGGGGTATTTACGCCAAGTATGTGTTGCACACCCATGTTGATCCACACCCATGTTGATCCACACCTGACTTGCTGCACGCCCGTCTTGTTGTACACCCGTCTTGTTGTACACCCATCTTGTTGTACACCCGTCTTGTTGTACACCCGTCTTGTTGTACACCCGTCTTGTTGTACACCCGTCTTGTTGTACACCCGTCTTGTTGTACACCCGTCTTGTTGTACACCCATCTTGTTGTACACCCGTCTTGTTGTATACTCCCCCATCTTCTCGTCCCCCCTCCCACCATCCCCTCTCTCCTCTCCCTATTCTCTCCCCACCCCTCCCTTACCCCTCTCTCCCCTCACCAGCCACGCCCCTTTGTTTGAGAGGCTGGGGGGCGAGTATGACACAGACCTTGTTGCAAGAGCCATGCCTTTTGTGGCACCTTATTAACCCTCCCTCTCTCCTCCCTTTCAAATGTCCTCACTCACTCCGCTTCCCTCCATCCCCTCCCTCTCCCGCCCTCCTCCCACCAGTCACGCGCCTCTGTTTGAGGGGCTGGGCAGGGAGTATGACATAGACCTCGTTGCACGAGCCTAGACCTATGAGGCGACTCAAAGGGCTTCTTTCTTCCCCCTCCCTCCATCCCTCCTCCTCCTCCCACCAGTCACGCACCCCTGTTTGAGGGGCTGGGCGGGGAGTATGACATAGACCTCGTAGCACGAGCTAAGACTGTGCGGGACTTCGATGTGGGACTCACACGAGGTGCGTGGGGGTGGAGGGCAACAGGGCCCACACGAGGTGCGTGGGGGTGGAGGGCAACAGGGACCACACGGGGTGCGTGGGGGAGGGGTGGGGAGAGTGGAGTGATGTATGCAGCAGCTGGCTTACAGCGACACAGGGGCTTACACGAGACTTTGATGTGGGGTTCTCATGAGGTGCGTGGGGGAGGGCTTGGGTACAAGTTTACAGTGACACAGGGGCTTATAGTTGTGAGGCTTACAGCGACACAGGGGCTTATAGTTGTGAGGCTTACAGCGACACAGGGGCTTATAGTTGTGAGGCTTACAGCGACACAGGGGCTTATAGTTGTGAGGCTTACAGCGACACAGGGGCTTATAGTTGTGAGGCTTTCAGATATGGGAAGAGCCAAGACGGTGCCGGACTCCGATGTGCGGCTCACACGAGGTGCGTGGGGGAGGGCAGCAGGGCTCACACGAGGTGCGTGGGGGAGGGCAGCAGGGCTCACACGAGGTGCGTGGGGGAGGGCAGCAGGGCTCACACGAGGTGCGTGGGGGAGGGCAGCAGGGCTCACACGAGGTGCGTGGGGGAGGGCAGCAGGGCTGACACGAGGTGCGTGGGGGAGGGCAGCAGGGCTCACACGAGGTGCGTGGGGGAGGGCAGCAGGGCTCACACGAGGTGCGTGGGGGAGGGCAGCAGGGCTCACACGAGGTGCGTGGGGGAGGGCAGCAGGGCTCACACGAGGTGCGTGGGGGAGGGCAGCAGGGCTCACACGAGGTGCGTGGGGGAGGGCAGCAGGGCTCACACGAGGTGCGTGGGGGAGGGCAGCAGGGCTCACACGAGGTGCGTGGGGGAGGGCAGCAGGGCTGACACGAGGTGCGTGGGGGAGGGCAGCAGGGCTCACACGAGGTGCGTGGGGGAGGGCAGCAGGGCTCACACGAGGTGCGTGGGGGAGGGCAGCAGGGCTCACACGAGGTGCGTGGGGGAGGGCAGCAGGGCTCACACGAGGTGCATGGGGTGGGGTTGGGGAGAGTGGAGTGATGTATGCAGCAGCTGGCCTTACAGTACTGATGTGTGGGACGAACCAAGGCCATCCATGATTTTCTATGTGGGGGTATCAGGGCCTTGCAGGGCTTTCCCTCCCCCCCTGCCTTTTGTTTGCACTTCTCATTCCTCTCACCACCCTGCCTGCTTTCTTCTCTCTTTCCCAACTTCCCCCGTTACCCCTCTGTAGTGTCCCTTGACTCTTTCTTCCTTTCCCTTGACTCTTTCTTCCTTTCCCTTGACTCTTTCATCCTTTCCCTTGACTCTTTCTTCCTTTCCCTTGACTCTTTCTTCCTTTCCCTTGACTCTTTCTTCCTTTCCCTTGACTCTTTCTTCCTTTCCCTTGACTCTTTCTTCCTTTCCCTTGACTCTTTCTTCCTTTCCCTTGACTCTTTCCCTTGATGGACGCATCTCACAACGATACCAGTTCCACCAGTTCTCAATCTTCCATTCTCACATTACCATACAGTCCTCATCTCAATACAACATCCTCCAACTGTTTTTCTCCCTGCCCCTTTCCCGGTTCTCCTTTCCCATTGTTCCCCCTCAGTGTCAATTCAACCCTCAGGGCTATCCCTCAGGGCTAGCCTAAAAACCAAACTAAACAACTGATTGCTGAACACAGCTGCTGCCACGCTACACCATGCCTCCTACTTTGGGCTCCATTGGGCTATCCCTCAGGGCTATCCCTCAGTGTCCGTGGACTATCCCTCAGTAGACACCTATTTTTACCGCGATGCTAGCAGCAGCTTGAAGTGAACCCCAAAGATTGTCCCAAACCCCCCTTCTCTTCCCGTCTCTCCCATCCCATCGTTCCTCATCCTTGTCATCGGGTACCGTTCAGTAGACACCTAATACCATTGTAACACGAGCTGCTTTAGATGCTCCTCTAAGGTAGGCTCAAAACGCCTTCCTGTCTTTTCCCCCATCCCGTCCCATCCTTGCCCCTCAGTGTCATTCGGCTATCCCACAGTGGACGCTTATTACAGTGATGCCAGCAGCTGTCGAAGCATCAAGGACGTGCGATTGCCTCTGCTGTGTGTCCAAGTGAGTTGCATGTGGTTGTGCTGCTCTCACGCGCCAACTAGAAACAAGAACGAAAATAAGGGTTTTTCAGAAGTCGTTCGCTTCCTTAAGAACACTGTTGAAAGCACTTCAATCGTCCTTGGTAATCTTTCACAGCAATCATGTCATTCCCAGCTCCCACATTCAGAAACCAGACCAACCCTGGTTTCTCGTATCCTTGTTTCGCTCTTGTTTCCGTCTTGTTTAACCCTTGCAACCATTTTTCTTGGGCCATGTTCGTTCGTCTTTGCTGCCAATGCCCCACCATTCATTTCCTCTGTGTATTCTCTCCTCGGTTAGGCTTTGGATGATCCCATCGCACCAGCAGAAGGCATTCCGTATGCCGCTATTGAGGTACCGTGCTGTTTTGTTCTTGGACACTGATACTGCTTGTGGTGGTGCGTGATTACATGTGATGGGATGTGATGGTGTGTGATTACATGTGATGATATGTGATGGTGTGAAAGTACATGTGATGGTGTGTGATTTCATGTGATGGTATGTATTGGTATGTGAAGTATGGGACCCTCACCTTCATGCCACAGCACTGTACTGATGCACGAGATGTACACCCAAGAAGGATTTGACTTATTCTGGTTATGCAACACTATGTCAACACATGCCATCACATGCCATCACATGCCATCACATGCCATCACATGCCATCACATGCCACCACATGCCATCACATGCCATCACATGCCATCACATGCCACCACATGCCATCACATGCCATCACATGCCATCACATGCCATCACATGCCATCACATGCCATCACATGCCACTACATGCCATCACATGCCATCACATGCAATCACATGCCACCACATGCTATCACATGCCATCACATGCCATTAATTGCTATGGTGTTCCATCTTGTCATGGCAATGCATCTTTGGGTGTGCCAGAGTGGCACGGCACGGGGGGTAAGGATGGCCTGCAGTGACACATGTATGCACGACGCTGTTGCAAGTGTGCCGCACATCTCAGAGACATCTAATTCTGACACGTATCAAAACATCCTTGAGATATACACCCTGTTTCCTCTCATCCTTCAGAACAACCCCCTCACCATGCTTGTGGGAACATCCCACGGCGGTCATCTGGGCTGGGTGGCGGGTCCTGAGGCTCCCTTTGGGGCCCCTTGGCCGGACATACTCACTATGGAGTTCCTCGAAGGGCTGGAGAAGAGGGCGGTTGAGGATGAAAGCGAGGGTATTCCCCAAGAGACTGCTTATGAGAAGTTGTTTGGGCAAAAGGAGGAGTTGGAAGTGGTTGGAGAGGGTTCGGCGGGTGGTGAGGGTGGAGGGGGTCGTGATGCAGGTAGTGAGGGAGGAATTAAGGTATCATGGTAACACGGGATGTTGCCATTGCTACTGATATCCGTACCCAGCCATTGGATTATAGGCTTCACGCTTGCTGAAACACAAGGATTTAAGTACATTTAATCAAGAGTGATTTAATTATCACCTTCTTACCAGATAAATTGAGCTCTCCTATACAGAATTGATTGCTTTCTGAGGACTCAACTTCTTCACGTACCTCAACTTCTAAGGTCCCCGCCTAGCTAGCTTTCCCTGTAATCACTACAGGAGATGCTAAAAGAAGCCTGATTATCTTCTAACTTTTGTAGATAGAGAGGACAATCACGCATATCAAAAGTGTATTTCTGCCGTTACTGCTTACCAACTGATTCTTAGGTCATGCAGTGGCGGACAAAGTACCTCACAAAGTCGTGGGCAGATGAATTTCTCGATACACCCTCATTCTCGTTAGACTGGCATATGTTATACTGACCGAGACGCTTAGTGTAGCCGCAGCGGACCAAAGAAGGTCCTATCACATGCGTTATACTGACAGTTTGACCCAGGGCGTTTAGTCAAGGTTCTATACGTTCTAAAATTGTAATGCTGTTTTCTAAACGGTTAAGACAGTTATTCAGCGTTAATGGAATTTTACGGCCCAAGTCTGGTTTCGTCGCCTCGTGCGACTTGGCCCGCAACCGAGTTATCTCACCAGCCCGCTACGTCCAAACACTGTAGCCACTGCTTCCGCCGGTGAGAAGACTGAGAATAAGGGTGTACTTGCACTAGAATGGTGATTTGGGGGAGTGACGCTTGTCGACATGAAGGCTTGGCAGTTGCAGAAACCCACTGTACCACGTGGTGGATCCTTCTAACAGCACTATTTACGGTGAATAGTTTTCGTGCGTCATGAACTCGTATGTCATGAACTACATACTGCACGGTACACCCTGTTTCGCGCTAGCAGAGCATCTGGTTGCAGAACATGCACTGGTTGTAGAACGTCACCACGTTTGAAATGGTCTTATCACCGACGGTACAAGCACATTCACAAGAAAGCGGTTAGCTAGGATGCTGCATGGTAAAGAACATTAACCCCGGCAATATGTGAGTCGCTCGTTGTACATTCATATTTGAGTAGGTGGTACTACAAGACTTAAAATATCGGTTTGAGATAAACCTCGTACTGCACATCCCGTGTAGGAGCCATCAAACCCTACCTACCAACCTCCCAGCGCAACTGCCTCAACCCAACAGCAGGACGAAAAGTGTTCGTAAAACACGGGAGCATCTTTTGCTCAGAGTGCATTTCGTCCAGACAAGGATCGATAACCGCAGAGCATGATTCAGAATCACGTCGCGTCCTGCATTGCGAAGGCTATAACATCCGTGGAGTAGCAAACCGCTGCTTCCATCCTTAGACAGCATTCGTCGCACTGAGCGGCCGTTCATCCCTGAGGACATCTCAAGTCAATCAGACAACGTTGCCGTATCGCCTTACGTTCTGAGCCTACTTCCCTTTAGCTAACCCTGCAAATCTACTGAACTCCCGCCACTCAAGCTTCATTGGCTACAATTCCCCACTACACTAACTGAGCTCCAAATTCGTACATTTTGAACTCCGAAGACTGCACTAAGCGGTATACTAATCGCCTAATATGGAGCTACTACGGCGCCCCGTTCCCCCGTCGTTGTTACATTTAGCAGTACTGGTGGCATGCTTAGCGGGTCTGGCGGCAGCAGTATCGGATCTCCCGGAAGCGGACCTCGCGCCGCCGAAGCCGCTGCCGACGCGGTTCGAGCAGGCCATGGCGGAGACCGCCGCGTTGAGCCCCGACGCCAGGGCTAGGCTGCACGCCGCACGGCTGAGCGAACAGATGCTGCTCGTTCACGACGAGGAGGACGACGTTAGCGACGGCGAACCCGGCGAAGAAAGTGGTAACGACAACGGCGAAGGTCGCCGTCGCAAGCTGGCGACTACCGCGAAGAAGCTCGGGTTGAAACCACCGCTTCTGAACTCGGGACCGAGTATGGCGGATGTGAATAACACCTTCTTCCGGTGGGACTCGGTAACGCCGAACGCGTATGTGGATTGGCGACAGACCATGTACATCTCGCCGATACAGCGACAGTTCCAGGTGCGTGCGTCTGCTTGTATCGAGTCTGCTTATGTTGCGGCGCGTGTTCAAGCGACATTGTCTCAGTTTCGCCTTCATTTATTTTATTCAACCACAACTCCAGCTTGTCTGCTTTTGCGGGTCCTCTTCCCATCCCTCCTTCCCTCCCTCCCCTCTCTCTGCTCGTCGCTCCCAAGGCCGACTCGAGTCTCCTCCATTTCCGCCTCTCCCGCCGCGCCGTCTCACTCTCCTCTCACGTCTTCCCCCATTGCATTGATGGCTCGGCGCGCAGTGCGGGAGCTGCTGGACGATCGTGGCCGTCGATTCCGTCTCCATGATGTGGGCGATCATCAACAACACGACGCCGCAGCTGCTGTCGCCGCAGCAGGTGTGCGACTGCGCGACGAAGCAGTGCTGCAAGGGCGGCTGGCCCGACTGGGCTTTCTCCTACATCCTCTTTAATGGCGGCATCGCTTCACTCGACGAGTACCCCTACCTCGCAGAAGACAGCGCCATCTGTAACGCGAACGCGTCGACGCCGCTCGCGGCGAAAATCACGGGGTGGGAGCTGGTGCCGCCGTACAACGCCAGGGCGCTCATGAAGGCCGTCAGCATGCAGCCGGTCGTCGCGTTTCTGTCCGGCAACGCTAACGATTTCCAGTACTACTCGTCGCGCGGGATGGTTAAGATCTACGACGGGACGTGCACGACGGATATTAACCATGCAGTGGTGGTGGTCGGGTATAACTACACCGGCCCGAGTCTCGAGGGCAGTTATTGGATATTAAAGAACTCGTGGTTCAACACGTGGGGCGACGGCGGCTACATGTACCTCGCGATGACGCCCGACGTGCGCGGGAAATGCGGGCTGCACGCGTAAGTTGCGGTCGATGCGGGAAACGCGGGCTTGCGCATTCCATCTCATTCTCTTCCCCGCGCTGGTTCTTCCCCCATCCTCCCACCCTCCCCTCCCCTCACCCTTCCCCCCCTTCCCCCCTTTCACTCCTCCATTGATGTATATTGTTTTGAGACGTTTCAAACCCCTCCCCCCCACCCCGCTCCCCCCCCCAGCATCCCCGCCATGTACCCAGTCTACTACGCGGGGCCTGAGCCCGTCAAGATCGCCAGCACGGTTGTAACCACCTCGTAACATTGCTCCTCCCCTCCGCTCCTGCTTCCCGCTCCCCTTTCCTCTTTCCCCCCCCCCCCCCCCCCCCCCCCCAGCATCCCCGCCATGTACCCCGTCTACTACGCGGGGCCCGAGCCCGTCAAGATCGCCAACGGCCCGTCGCGCCGCTTGGACGACGGGTACGACGGCAAGTGGTGGTCGCGCGGCTACTCCGGCCCCGTCGACGCGTGCGCGAATCTCATCAACCCGTGCGGCGGCGGCCGCTGCTACACGCTGCGCGGAATCGCGCGCTGCGACTGCCGGTACCTGGGGAACATGGTGGAGGTGCTGTCCACGCCCACGGCCAAGTGCGTGCCGCGCTACCCCTGCACCAGCCGCGACCTCTTCAACCCCTGCGGGAGCGGCGTGTGCCGGAATCCCGGCGACGGGACGTACACATGCGAGTGCCCTGCGGTAAGTGACAATATTGAACGGCTCTTATCCAGTGTCTTCAAAAAAAAAAACGGTCCTTTGTGTTGTGTTAATGCTGTGTCCTGTCCTGTGGCGCCCAGGAGGCAGACAGGCTTTGTCCAGAACACAGCGCTCTGCAGACAGGCTTTGTTTGACTCGCGTCCCCCCCTCCCTCCCCGCATTCTCCCCCCCTCCTTCCATCCGCACATTCTCTCTCCCCCCTCCGTCCCCTTTCAACAGGGCTACGCCATTGGCACGGTCTCAGATGGCACAATTACCTGCATGGGCGTGGGGCAGTCATACACCACGGCGCCCGGCGACTCAAAACGTGCACCCTCCCCTGCTGCCTTTCTCAGGGGTACGCCATCGGAACAGCATCAGACGGGACCATCACGTGCGTGGGCGTGGGCACGACGGCGGCGGTGGGGCAGACGTACACCACAGCGCTGGGCGACTCGTCACCCCGCGTTCATTCCACGCTCTCTCCCCCCCCTTCCTCTCCCCCCCTTGCCTTTCTCAGGGGTACGCCATCGGAACAGCATCAGACGGTACGATTACCTGTGTGGGCGTGGGCACGACGGCGGCGGTGGGGCAGACGTACACGACAGTGCCGGGTGACTCGTGCACGGTGGTGGCCAGCACATTCAGGCTCTCCGCCGTTGCTCTCGCCGACCTCAACCCGTTTCTCGACTGCTCGCTCGCCTTCATCGCCCCTGGTGCGTGCACTGCACCTACCGCTCTGCCCCGTGTACCGCTCTGCCTTGCGCTGCGGAGGTGATTCTTGAGTCGACTGAACTGAACTGACTTCTGAGTTGACTCAAACGTCCCCTGGTGCGTGTACCTACCGCTCTGCCTTGCGCTGCAGAGGTAATTCTTGAGTCGACTGAAACATGATATCCGTGGTGCTGCGACAGTGACCTGCCTGACCTGCTTGGCTGACCTACCTTGCATTCCTGTCAGTCACCCGCTCTCTTCCTCGCCCCTTCCCACCCCTCCCACCCCTCCCTCCCACTCCTCTCTTTTCGTCCAGCAACACTCGTGTCCACCTCATGGACAGCCCAGGCACCTTCTTACCCCCTCTCCTTCCCCGTCCCCTTTCCCGTTCCCCACCCCCGCAGGCACGGTGCTTCTCGTCCCCAGTACCTCCGCAGCACGAGCACCAGCAAGCACCTTGGTGTGCACAGCCACGTACATGGTATGGTACGCTGCAGATGGGCGACACGTGTCACACCCTCTTCTTATCCCCTCTCTTCCCCCATCCCATCCCCGACCCCCTCCTCCCCCCCACCAGGCATGGTGCTGCTGGTAACCAATACCTCCGCCAGCGCGAGCGCGAGCGCCATGGTGTGCACATC